CGTTCCTTGATGTAGAGTCTAAGAGAATGAGAGCAATTTATTGGAGCGTAGCATTTCATGTTTCCTTATTAATAAAATCATAATCTTGTCATAATTGAAATATTTCCTTCACAAATACCTAAGACTATGACGTGCATATGATCTTTAATCATACAAAAACATAGGCTTTAATTGATGTTACATTCATATTTCCCCTAAAAGAAAGCATGGCTTTAATCCATCAATTAGTTACATCCATTCCGTAAGTACCTTCTGCTTACTGACAAGTACATCTGTATCCTTCAATGGCAAACCCGTGAAGAAAACAACATGCAGTCAGGATACATCCTCAAACACAACAACGTTAAGTAAAAAAGATGAAACGTTTACATATCACTGAAGACGTTGAAAAACAATAAATCAAACTTGGTGACTTAGGTCATGGGATCCTGTACTGACGTGATGCTTGATTATCTGATTGGACCTTGACGTGAAAACCATAGTTCATTTCGTAAGATACAGACTATGTTTATGAAAAAATGTCCAGTGACGACACCTAAACGTGTTGATAGTTCAGAACAGCTACATCATACATTCATATGAAAAATATCACATATCAGATGTTTATGTAATAATCGAAACAATACAAACACGTGTTTGTCCTTCGTGTGGTGATTGCATCAGTAATCACTTTCATTTCATATCTGCATGTTCAACTAACGTACATTAGCATCAGCAGATGCTCGAATCATGCACAAGTTATCGAGGCTGGCTTCTACACAAAGCTGGTGTGCATACGTTCTCTTTGATGAACTAAATGTACTGAATATGCCTATCCCAGCTATAAAAAGGATGAATGTGTTACATAAGCCGCATTATTTTTATTTACTTAGGTATATAAAAGTAAAATGTCAGTTACAGTTGGCAATGTTCAATGATCAGTGTCCATGGCACTTTATGTAAAGAATAAGGCAAAAGGTAAGAGACAACTTCGATGTCGTCCTCAAAATGACAGCCAACAGCCAGTAACGGTGCCTCAAAAGGTTACGTTGGTGAAAAGGTAACAAACAAGTCCTGTCACTGTATCCATTTATACACTTTATAACATATGTGTGCTGCGGCTTTTAAACCTGCTTCTTTTAATCTTTATTTGCCGTTCATTTAATATAAAACTCATCTTATCAATCGCTAGTTTGTCTGGTCAAGACAGTATTATTTACAGGCTGACGTCATATAACTGGACTGTTGTTAAACGGCGTTAAACAACAAACAATGATTCAAAACCTTTGTAAAGGGTTTTAATTTCTAACAGGGTGAGTGAGTATGTTTTTACGCCGCTTTTAGTAATATTCCAGCAATATCACGGCGAGGGACACCAGAAATGAGCTTCACACATTGTACCCATGTCGGGAATCGAACCCGGATCTTCGTGATGAGCGAACGCAACAGGGTGGAGTGACACATTCAGATAAAGTGGATTCAACTTTAAAATGTAATAAAAAATAAAAAGTCATGAAATTAAATGTTCAACTGCTGCGGTGGTTAAATTGTCAACCTTTTACTCGTGATCCTCTTATGTTTTTCGCGAGTGTGTTGAAAGTGTAACATGTTGGAGATATAGTGTTTAATTCAACTTACCCTACAAACAAAGATGACAGGCCTTATAATTGCTTAGGCTTGCAAAGCTTGTTACTATTCATATTAGAAGTCTCAAAGCTCTCACGACAACATTGCAAAGCGTTTTGGAAGTATCTAAATAATAAAAAGTAAGTTTAATACCGGTTTTAATTCTTTCAAGGTCATACGGTTTCATTTGGACAAAATAATACAGCATGTTCTATTTGTGTCACATGCTGTTAGCCCCACCCACGTGTAAGCTAATATACGCAGCATTGTTACTTATATATATATATACTCCTTAAGCTTAAGTCGTTTGAAATGTATTTTTTGTGTTAGAATTCAAAATACCATCCGATAAAGCTGCTGAGTGCATGCTTCATCTCCATCAATGAAGTAAATTAAGATAGCCCGCCGGAAGTTAAACATGAATGCTATGCGAAGAGGTAAGTATTTCTCCGTGACCTTCTCAGTCGTCTTGAGCTTAACTAAGCCACTGATTAACAGTCTCTGTTGGTATTGTATGGAAGGGTGTTATGGTTTCGTTGTATACATCTTGGGATTAAGGCCCGTGTTTAATTTAGATGTGTGTGTTTTTGTTCGGTGGCACGTTTTGGTAGTTAACGGATGCTGCTATATTCGTTGCGGTCACTTGTTTGATGGGCAGCTGACATCAGGAACGGTTATTCACCCATTAAATCATTGATCAATACTGTCATTGTCTTATGTGGAGAACATGGTTTTATCGACATATTGGTAACTTTGATTTGTATATGATCAATGAACAATATAGTCAATACTTTACATCTACGAAATCTACTAGTATCTACACTGAAGACAGTCCATGGCGCCAGTTATACATGTTATTTTACAGGTATCTCACACGTGGTCTTTGGTACAATTTTTAACAGAACCATATACAGTAAGCACAATACGGAATAAATTGTTTTTTATTTAATTGTTCCATAAATATACCACTTAATAGAAGTTAAAAACACACTCGTTTCTTTCATATTACTTTAGTTAATACCATGATAGATTACCTATAGTAATATGAAAGAATCGGGATTCTTTTACTGTTTTTGCGTAGTATATATCGTGTTTTATGCCAAAAGCATTTTTATTATTCTGATAGATTTAAGTTTCATACTGTAAAATTAAACTGTATTCCCACAACAACATTGAATATTAGACATAGAGGTGTACATGGATGTGCGACTGAATATGCTATGTATTGAGCTTTGAAGTTGCTATATTTTTTTAAACATATATGACATATATGTCTAACATTTATAGTGGAACAAATTACTATTATAGAAACAGTAGACACACGGGGAATTGTTCTTAAACTAAGTGTAACGAGTAAGTCGTTTCTTGAGGCCTTGTGGTCAATATGTCAACATGTTTATGCTGTGTGTCAGCCAAATGTCACTTGCCCGGATCGAATGTCAGAAAACAACAAGTTTAGCTGAACGCCAACATGGCCGATATGGGCGCAAGGTCACGAGACACCCATACAATCGACGTCATTCTCTTTAGGTCAGAGGGCAGTGCACCCTGTGACAGGGAAGGTGAAGGTCGGATCTCACGTGGATTGACGGATGTGATGAACGACTTTATGGCATACCATAGATTGCGTTGTATACAATTCTATAGTCACATTCACTGCATGTTTTGAACGCTGTTATTCATGAATAACTGTGTATTTCAAGTTATGAAAAACACCGTTATATACTACTCAATTTCTGATGGGGATATTTTGATATTTCCATATTACGCAAAACTGATTCGCACAATATGTCAGGTGTTTATTATTTAAATAAAATGACATAAATTGCTATCCCTATCACAAGTTGAGTAGTATATATACATCGAATGCATATTATGGGAAAATCAAATTCGAACGGTTAAAGTATTAAGGGTAGCAATAAATCGCATAAAGATGGTATGTTTAAAAGTTATCGAGCCTCAAATAGCTCTGTATGTTAATTACATTGTTTTTCAATTTTGTTCGTCACATAAAAAAAACCAATTTGTCCATTGTTATATATATTTATTTAATAGTGACTCATGAACAAATACATATGATATAGTTGAAATCGTACAATGGAGATTTGCTATGATTATGAAAAGGGTTTTGTCGCTTTTATTAATAAAATCAACGACTCCGACAGGTCCAATGTTACAATCAGTGTCGTGACATGATTCAAATGACGTTAAAGTTACTCAGACACTCACAAAGACCACATTTCTTAACGTGTCTCCTCGTCAAAAACACTTGAAAATTTCAGCTTGAAAAAGTAAATCAACAGTCACATAACATTTCACTTGCGGATCAGCACCATTGATTTATAATACGACGGAACGTTGTAAAGTGGCATAGGACCTACAAGTGGTCAATATATCATTATACTAGCCGTCATGGGATATACGTTTAGTAAACAGCAATGCCCTCTAGCTGTACTGGTAATGATGACGTCCCTACTAAATCAGTGAAGTGTTGTATGTATGCTCAAGTGTCTAAGCTCTTGATAACATGCAACAAGCTTTTTCAATGCACTTTTAATTTAAGAATATTATCAGGAGCTTTTATACGATCCAAATTCATTATCCTTACGAACTTTCCGACGTCAGTAAATCTTTTCTCCAATTATCTTCGGAGTGGCAGTGTTTAAAATGAATGTAATACAAAAGAAACACATTTAACATGTTTGTGGTCTCTCAATAAACATCTATGGATATTTGTCAGGAGTGCACTGCCCTAATCATGTCTTCACAGTCAACGCTGTGTTTGTCTAGATTTGTTGGTCAACACGTTTCATTTGCGGTGTGTGTTCAGCAAACAGCTGCTGGTACTCAATGCCAAGAAAACACCTCACACGTAACGTATTTACATAAGATGTCCCCAACTTCTTCAGTTGAAATAAACATAGCTTGTTAAATCATATATGTGACTCTCTTAGCAAACATCATTAAATACGTTATTCTTGAGATGGAAAAAATAGTGTTCAGTGAAAAGGATTTGAAATCTTTGTATTTGCTCAGATCACACACGATGCGTCTCTTAAGCTTGGAACGTGACCGCATTGTGTGACATTGTGTCGCTTTCTAATCACGAAAACTGGACCCCTGCTTGTTTTGGCCTATTAATGTTTTGGCCATTTGTTTCAGCCTCAAACTGACCACTCTTTCAAAGGTGTGTTTCCGAGCAGTTCAAACGATAATATTTTTCTTTTTAGAGATTTGATATTATAACTGGACTCTACAATCAGATTGCCCACAGATGACGAGATGAAGTGCTCGATAACACTAAATGAGAGTCCTCCTTCAAGGACTAGGAAAGGCAATCGTCGTAGGTTACCAAGATATGAACCTGTTTCATCTAAACCTTCTCTTGTTTTCAGAGCAAGGAAAAGACTATCCACCTACCTCCACACACATGTGTGTTTGATACTGGTGTGTTCCCTGGCAGCCCTCGATGCAGCATGTGTCATTGGCCAAATCATCTGTGATATTCTAATTATGAAAGGTAAATCAAATTTATGCGGAGCAATTCGCTATGCAGAGTTGCGTCCCTTAGGCATACCAGATCCGCCGTGATTGTTACTTGGTTTTGTCAGCATCATCATATCCTAAATCATGGGTTTCCCCTTAGTGATATTCGTCTAAGGCCTGCATCACTTTGGGGTTTCCTCCCACATCATGCTGACAAGTGATATAACTGAAATATTTTTCAACTTGCGGCGGTAAGCCAAATTCACTCACTCTAATTATTAAATGATGAGTAGCATAGTAAGTGATTAAGTCGACAGGTTGAAAAAACAGTCCAGACGCCACAAATAGCTGTGCATTGGTGTTTCCCTCATGTGATCGCGAATTCGAATCCCAGATAGTGATGGTGTCAACACCATGCCCGTGTTCGTTGCTTTTCACCAATGCCTAAAACCTAAATCAATTATTTTGGGGGTTATTTATGTCGGATGTTTCTTATCAGACAATATATTATCTGACGGGGCATAATAGAACACGTAGTCCATGTACAAATGTGACAATCCCATTCTCCCCACACGCTGTAATGTAGAGCGACACACGAACGTACAGTCTGTGCAAACAGTCCATAAAACAGTGACTGGGACAACCTCCATACATGTCAGTGAGTAAATGAGTGATACTTTAAGCTGTGGTCAGCGATATTACAGTTTTTATGTTAAGCGGCGGGTGTGTACATGACAGGACATGACACAACAAGACAGGGCATGACATATTTGTGAGTTGGCCATGCTAAAAAGCCTGACCCGTCACAGATGACCTCCGTCTATATCACATTATGGGAGTTGTGGTGGTCTTAGTGCTAAGATCGCTTTGTGGAATAAGGGCCGGCTCGATGTTTCCCCACTTACTGATCGGAGTTAGTGAGTGAGTGAGTGAGAGAGTGTGTGAGTGAGAGAGTTTGAAAAGGTCGCCAAAGAGCACTCATTCAAAGCGTTGCTTAACACATAAACATTATTGTGTTGGTGTAGCGTCAGTTGGCTTTATACAAACGGACCCTGTCTAATAACTTAAACCATTGCGTCGTGTGCAGATCCAAACAGTGGCGTCTTTAGGTCAAGTGTTACTTTAGATCTGTAGTCTTTCGGTATTGCTCGATGGCTCCCTTCGATCTAACATTTCCCATGCAGGAAAGATGAACACATTTACTCATATCAGGTGCCGAATAGTAGTTGATGGTATATTTATCTTTTTTTAAACCGTCAATACTTCTTTGTAAAGAAAATTCCTGTAACATCTGAGCGGGAGATATTTTATAGTTTATCTCTGAAATTTCCAGACATATTTACATATGATATGCTTTATGCCAAGGTAGTTTACGCTGGAAATGTTTTATGAACGTTTCTTAATAACACTTGGTGTTGAGTGATAACATTCTAGCTTGTCACTACATTCTTACCATTGCTCAGCCGTGGTGCTCTTTTGCACTCATGGATCCATTACTTAATCATGTTGTTTTGTGGACAAAACAGTGTGAATGAGTGAGTTGGGTTTTATGCCGGCAATATCCCAGCAATATCACGGCGGGGGACACCAGAAATGGGCTTCACACATTGAAGCCTTGTAGGATGTCGAACCCAAGCCTTCGGTGTGACGAGTGAATATTTTAACCACTAGGCTATCCCACTGGCCCGGACGAAACAGGGCTACTGAAAGCCAAAATGAAGAAGTCACTAACACAATATATTGTTGTTTCAGAGGACTTGCACCACTGGCAAGTTCTGGACGCGGATCTCACCGTTGTGTTAGTGAAACAGGTTCCCCTCTTAAACGGAACCAATCCTGAACATTTAAATTTGGAAAAGATTTATGAAAAACTCAGTAACTATGGTAACGAGGGTGGCCATGATGTCCATACGGCTCCATTAACGCATTTCATGGACACTTCGGCCCCAAGCGGTCCGCTGACTAATGGGGCGAGAGGATTACCTATTGTCTCAACAACCACAGTACCGGGACATACGACCACTACCGCTTCCGGTACAGCCCCGCAGCAAAATGCTTCCGGTGAGCCGCTTAAGGTGAACCTCGCTAATCCGTTTATGAAATCAGGAGTAATACACAAACGCGCTAAAAGAGCCGCAGAAGGTTCTGAGGAAGATGACGGACATGGCCATTCGTTGCTGCATGAACTCACACACGCCTTTCATCTGGGAAGTATGGCTATTCTCTCGATGCTGCTGTTGGAGGTAAGTTTTTTTATAAATTTTTTTGTATCCTATATGAGGTGTAGTAGATAGAGCGTCTGCCCGGAGAGCAGTCTTTGTTTTATCCCTTTAACGACGAGCACCTGGCAAGGAAAGAAGAAGTACCATCTTTTAACGTGTCTCGGTATGACACAGCCAGGGGATCGAACCACCGCGTTTCCGGTCTCCGGGCAGACGCTGTATCCACTACACCACGCAGGAGTAATAAAATATACAATGACATCGGACGATACCGCCAGTAAAATTGTCCGGATTACTTAATTTCTTGATAAAGAAACCTCGTTAGTCCCGAAACCCATTAATCCGGACGATGGGTGCTTGGAATGCGGCGACATGTATACAAGTGACATGACCCGTACAAATATCTCTTTAACCCGTAAATGTCTTAATCCGGACGAAATTTCTGGGATCGGTACCGTCCGGATTTACGGGCTTTTATTGTATATATTTCTTCCCAACGGTTATCCTCTGGAAGAAGGGGTTCCCTACTAACGGGGTCGGGAGTACCGAGGTTTCAATGGATGTTCAACATAGATCGTTCCGTCATGCCTGTCTTTATCGCTATGTTTCCTTTTACGCCCAGTTGATTTTCGAGACTGGTTAGTCTCTGGTATTGACTTTTTATATTTACTCAGCATGTTTTCATTGCAGACTTTATTGAAGTCCTTTGCTATGGGAAGGAAAATATTGCATCACAAACTAGAGGTAAGTGATAATGGCCATCGTTGACTAAATTGTCAAATTGGCAGTCAAAGTAACTTTGATCAAAACATTTAAAGACCACTTTATTTATCTCCTAACTGACATTGTTTCGTGAATATCCAGCAATAAATGATGACGTTTTTCACGAAGAGGGAATGCCTCGTTTCAAAGATAGCATTAATTAAAATATCCCAAACTTGAATGGACATTAGCTGCAGGAAGACAAGCGTAGTCTCCTTTCAATTCGCACTCATTGAATGAGTGAATGTGAGCGTTATTCCAGTCATAAAACGACTTTACACATTGCATTCTTATACAGCTTATGTCAAAGAAAGATAAGATTAAATCTTTTACACAATACAGCGAGCTCATTATTTCCGTTTTTTTAACGACAGTGCTTCGACGTGTTTGTCGTCACGGTGTCCTGGTGTCTTGACGTCGCCTTCTACGAGGGTATCTGGGCACATCCGGGCACTGAAGCTGCTACAATCCTCATCTTCATCCTTCCCTGGAGAGTTGTCAGGATAGTAAACAGTAAGATCCTTAACTAGTTTCTAAATGAACAATGAGTTTGGTCAAGTTTAATGTTCGTAAGTTAATGAGGAATACGGTTTTGAATAATATTTCAATTATAACACAGTGTGTTGGTTAAAAGAAGGCGCAAAGCCCAAACTATCACTTTGGTTAAATCGGCGACTATGCTTGTCGTAAAAGGCGACTAACGGGATCGGGTGGTCAGGCTCGTCAGGATACATGTCATCAATCCCAAATGCGTGGAAGGATGCTCATGATGTCAATCACTGGATTGTCTGGTCCAGACTCGATTATTTACAGACCGTCATGTAGCTAGAATATTGCTGAGTGCGGCTTTAAACAGAAGACAAACAAAAACAAACTTTGGTTAAATCCAAGAGCAGGGGTATGGTGTTGGAAAACCATTATCATAAGCTGGGATAATCCCGGATTCGAACCATTTAAGCGTTGAATCTCCAAAATATATGGATGTGGAGGACAGGTCACTCTGTGTAATACCGACCCACCACCAAGTAGAGGTCACTCTGTAGCTTAATCATTATATTATTTTTTTACCACCGTCCCGCTGGATTTGAAACACATTCCTCTTACTAACGCCATGAACGTGTGTGTCCGCAGGCTTTGTGTTGGTCATCCAGGAGAAAGACCACGTGCAACTCAAGATCGTCAAACAGAGGTTGAGACTGTCCGTCAAGAAATCAAAGGATCTTAACGACAAGTCTTCATCATACAAGGTACATACCAACATTATGATGATGTAGTATTACGACAGCGGTAATCACAAAATCATATGGGTTAGCGAGTTTGGTTTAATGTCCCTTTGAACAGGCGTGTCAGCATGATTTTGGACAAAAAGTGTTGCAAGCATTTATAGTTACCAATTCGGAGAAACCCGCGAGCACGGGAATGTTGCTGAAAACACTAGAAACATCACCAAGGTGTACCTGGAAATTGAACCAACGATGATAGGTTTCTTGCACGCCTAGAGTGTTCAACTGTGGAAGCAATGGGGAAGCTAAGACTTGGCCAGCCGAATGTTAACAAGAAAGGAAAATAAAATGAAAAATCTTAACTCATTAAGAGGTATTAAATATCATGATTTTTCTTCTATTTTCTATCAAATGCATTTTTCTTTGTGCAATATATCCTTCAACATTGCAAACATATATCTTTATAGATGAGGAAAATGACAATGTACTTCCTTTAAAACTGAATGATGGATATATATTCAGGAGAAGAAGAATTTGATTTATTACAATAGTGTTGTTTTTTTACTTTTCCATCTTAAACCCGTAGTACTTTCACAATAATGAACATGTGCTGCATCGATCTTACACTCATCACCCATACAAGCAGTCGAACTAATAATGCTTCATTATAGGTCTTTGATGATGATAAAAACGCAAAAAAATAACCTTCTAAATGTAAAAAGGAAATGACACTTACTTTTAGAACATATCAATTTTCATTTTGTCTTCATATGATCATATTAGGATCAAACAAAATAACCTAAATAAAAAAAACTTAGAGTTACTTGATAAATAGAGAATATCCAACGAGTGTCTGCGAGATCAAATGAGCGTGTCTTGGTATATTTGAGCTTGGAAGACACACGGGGGAGATTCTACTTGTCATTCAAAATCTTTCTTCCAACGTTTTCAGTTTATACACAGAAATAACCAGTGTCTTCAGTATAAAAGATCAGTGATTTCATTTGATTGTGACGTCATGGTAGCTGATGACCTCACAATGACCTGCAAAGCATTGTAATGCATTTTCATTTCATTTGACCTTACTCAAGCCATATCTCCCGTGGAAGCCAGTTGTGCTATGATAAAAGATAAATAGAGGTTATCACGCGAGTGTGTTTGGGGATGGTAAATATCCTGCATTAGGAATAAACATTGTATTTAGCGAGCCTTGGCGAGCTAAATACATATTAGTGTTTATTCCTAATGCATCTCCAGACACAATGTTTATTCCTAACGCAGGATATTAACTATCCCCAAACACACAAGCGTGATAACCTCTTTATCATATAATGTCATTCTATAATTCTGTGCTTGAAAATTGCTTTCCCTCTCTCAAAAACATTACCTAAACATTGCGAGTTTTCCTGGATTGCGCGCATTAATATTTATTACGTCACAGGGTAAGTGATGTGTCAGTCGGACAGTGACAGTAGCCAATATAGTTCCAACTGCAATCTGTTTCTTATACAGTGGCGAAGCAACATATACACAAAACAACAACTGTTTTTACTTGCATTTCGTGGCAATATATCGGTCTGTCCGCTAGAGTAACTGCCCTTTGTCAAAGGGAAGCTACTCTAACCCTAGTCTATGGGACGTCACGGCCACGTTCAGACGGTATTGACAGTCGGTCTGTCCTCAATCTCATTAAAATCAGATGTTAGTTCTCGCTACCGCTGAACAAAGATCTGAGGACACACCATTACGGGTCAGGACCGACCTTGCGCGAACTTTGACCGACCAATGGAATGACCAATCAGAAGGCAGCTTTCTCGTGCTTTACGGCGCTAATTTCAAATTGGCGACTTCGCTTCGAAACATATTTCGACAAATTCCGATTAAAAATTTGAAACCTGAACAAAAGAACATTCTGGAATGGCTTATAGATGGTCTAAATTGTAAGGAATCAGTCGTTAAACCCGTAACTATCGTTCGGTATACCCCATGTTAAAGTTTTCGAGGTTGTATGATTAGAAATCACATTCCGACTGTCACTATTATAATCTGGTAAGCGACGCACTGATTGGTCGGTTGAAAGGTCGGTCTGACGTGACCCCTAATGGGATGTCTTCAGATCTTTGTTTAGCGGTAACGAGAACTAAGGTCTGATTTTAATGAGATTGGTCTGTCCTGTCATAACGTTAAGAAGTGCAATCGGATGTACGCATAGCGACAGAACGAAACAATCTAACAATTCAAACATATTTCGGCCAAATTCAACTATTTTAATCTGTGGAAAAAGTTTCAAGCCGCAGAGGTCTACAAGCACAGGTATGGCTACTGATCCCGCTTTGCTAGGTCTAGTGCCCTCGCAAAATTGTTTCGAAATTTATATCTCCAAAGTTGCCAAAACTTATAAAATGCCTTAGCGACGTCACAGTTAGACACTGATTTTAAGTATATTAGACTGTTCTTTTGATACTGATAGCATTTATCTCTGTAGTTTATCCAGATTCGCGATGGTTAATTCTGACTCGATTGCCGAATGACAAGGGCGACTGCATGTTTGTTTATAAACACTGAAAGTCGTCCCTACTTGACCTTTGATATTTGCATCTCTATCCGCATATGACCCCAACGGATATCGTTTTTATCCGTAGGCTTTATCCTGCCGAGAAACCTCCCCATTATATGATAATATAGATATATTGCAAATGAAATTATATATATCGTACAGTTACATGTTCATCCCTCGCATTTAGTTAGCAATATATATTCATTGTCTTCGTATATAATTATGCTCTAAATAACAACAGATGTGTGACCTAGACCCCTAAGGCGTGCGATTAATATTTAGTGACAATATATTATGATGCGTTTCCTTCTGTGTAAAGAGCCGTCTAAAGTACAAAGACGTCATGGCTTAGTAAGTCAAAAGGTTAATCTACCTTCATTTATAACTGGCTTATAGTATGTAGCTTTACGTAGAATTACGGCGGCGCAACTATGCCTGCGTTAGCATTTTATCATTTACGAAAATTCCACAATGTAATGAATGCGATTTTTACTGTATGTTTCGGCATTGGTGGTTGACAATGTCATCAGCTGTGTACAACGTTTTCTACATGTTAAAAAACATTTCCTGACGAAAGTGATGTCTCGTGTTTTAGATTTAATTCCCAACCAAACTATTTGCGTCGCTGACATAGCGTATTCCTATACTTATCGCTGTAAACGATAACGGGTACGGCTGGTTCGGGCAACACAATTCGGAGTGGAGTGCTGCATCCCCTAGTCAAGGCAGGACCTGATCGAATCCGATCTTGAGGTCGAAGCTGTGATCTTTGGTTCCGCCTAATTAGAAAACGTCTGATTTACTTTGTACTTGCATCCGACCTTGAGCTGACACGCTGTGAGAAACTGTACTAACATTCACCGAATCACTGCGCATGTGCAGTGAATGCACCTGGTGTTCGATGAACATGTTAGATGAGTCAAGGTCAAGTTTACAAATCTCGAGAAATCAATCAAACAAAAATTCCTAATTTGATTATAGTTTGTTCTTTGGAATTTCTTAACAATATATGTTTCATTTATATAAATCGACCATTATCACGACACGAATATATATTCGTTAACGGATAGGCAGTTGCATGATATATTACTTGATGCGTTTTCCCCCTTGATGGGTTAACTCCCATGACAGCCTTGGCAGTGGATGTTTTGCTGATACATTGACAACGATTATTTTCTACAGATTGAACTGAAGCAGCTCCAAGGTCTCTGTCGGAAGCATGGTGCAACCGAAAGCGAAATCAATCTCTGCGGACCAGGAGGTATGGTCACATTGCAGTAACGCTAAAGTAAAGTTCAGTTCAGTTCAGTGTCAATACTGGTGGCGTTGGAATAGACTTTCCTGGTTTGGGTATGTTGTTAGTTTGTAGAGCGTTCGTGAACAATCGTGACATTTCGGGATGGGCCTTTTGGGGTTACGGAATGATGCAAATGTTGACGATTAACAAGTCATCTATATGACAATTGTCATAACATATGTGAACCTGGAGCACCACCGCCCTCTTTTCGATAACATACTAAACCCCGCATTTTCAAGCAATAAATGTGATCGGGTATACCAGACGTACACTTATCACAAAACTATAACTATAAATAAAGCGACAAAACCCTTCCCTTATCTAATAGAAATCTCCGCATAAAGCAGAGTCGATTGTACGATTCCGACTATATCACGAGCGTGTGTTTATGAATCACTATCAAATAGTAATGATACCAGTTGTTCGCAAAAAGGTGAGCGTGTACTGCCCCACCGATGGCAGTCATTTGGCGATATATTTTCAACAAACTTGCTCGATTACTTAAGGGAAAATTGCAAAACCACAATTAAAACACAACCTTCCTTTTCTAAAAACTGAATCCGCCATACATGGATTCAGAAGGTGGGTGCACGAATGCAAACCCCCCATGAACATTGCCATTATGTGGATTATTTAAAATGTTTTTACCGTGACATACTATCAAAAACTGATCACATGTGTTCTCGTTATAGGCAAACGCCGAAGAAGCAGTCTATATCCGGGTCTTGAAAGCTTTGCTGCCATCGCCCTCTCCAGTGCGCTTGGAAACCACCCAAGTCTCGCTTTGGAAGACTCGGATGACGACAACTCACTCGACAGTTCCCGGCAAAGTGGCCGTACGCCCGTCATCCATACAGTCTCTAATGGCAGTATTGGCAGCATAGGAAGTGACCTTTCCTTTAATATGAATCCAAGCGCCGGAACTGAACCCTGCGGCCTTGACAACCCCGTGTTTGACAACGATGACCCAATGCCTCCGACTTACGACGAAGTCGCCCTGAACACCAAATTGTGAGGAATTTTTTTACTCAGGTGGCATTTTACCACTAAGAGTCCTGATACTGAATGAAGTGGATCTTATTTCATTCTGTTTACAGGTTCAGTAATGGAGTATTTACTGTAGACGGTGGTGATAGATTGGTGTTTTGAGCAAGGGCAAGGACAACGTATATTCATATACGTTAAAATAGCCAGCATATGCAACCGACAGTGCCTATCAATAGGAAAAGATCAAACAATATGTATGGCATTGTACACAGTGAACCCTTGCTAAACACTTTACTTTGAGGGTGATTACTGGCTAAACATATGCATTGATTTTTAATCAATACGTTGTTTGAGATTATCGCAACGAGAGTCCACTTTAATGATATACCCCAGTTGCCGTCTGTTTCAGCTGATGAAACTTTTATATGGTTTTTTTTTAGTTCGCTTTTTTTATAAATAAAGTGGATATGATTCTGAATGGACAGAGGGGCGAATAAATCCCTACCTTCGTTGAAAGAAATGTCGAGGAAAAATACAAACTTGAAATTAAATTAAGACAATAGAACATAACTGACTGAACCATAAAAATGACATTAAAACGTCAAGTAATCGTGATAGAAAGAAAGTAACAAAATTATTTCCTATAGCTGTGATGTGATCTAATTACCCATTCCTTGAATGCAAAAAAAAATAAGACATCGAGGCTTGATAACACATTTGACAGGGGCAGATAATGGCTTCTCCCTTCAATGGATGTCCCCCTCAGTCATGTACAATGTCTAAACGCCAATACCAGCCCTTATGATCGCTAACACAATGGATGTGTCAGTCAAGGGAAATGGATCGGTGTCTTAAGACATCAATCTACTTTAGAGTCCCAGGCGGAGAGACAAAAGATGACATGGAAATTCACCCAGGGGCAATGTTTGTCACACGATACATTCATCATCCAAAGACTTTCCAGCAGGTAACCGTTCAAGTATAATAGGCTACGGCAATGTTAAACTCAGGACTAAAAGTGCAGAATTTATGTGATGTGATTGTTAAGTGAATAACTACTTTGATTAGAAATATTTGGGAGAATTTCTGTGAATAGATATAACGAAATATCTAAAATATGAATATTGTTAATAACATTTTTAAGCATTTCAATTTTAAATGTAAATGATGTGGTTTCTTTTTCTGGAGAGATGTGATCATTACGCTAACTGATCTTAAACTTCATAGCTTGCACAACCAGTGTGATAATTGAAGAAAGGAGATATATGACATATCTTTACCCCCTGTAAAGTACATACAACCCTGCTCGTAAATCCGAAATTGAAAAAAGGACATATTTGGAACCTCAGAGGATGTCAGATTTAGGGTTTCTTAAAAATTCATCACTGTCAATCCATATAAGGAATGAATGACGAGTTCACCATATGTACGTTCGCCAGTGCGAATCCCAAATATTTGTAACTCAGTTGCAACGCCCTCATTAAGTTAATTTTGACGTTTGTGAGTTATTATCACAGAAACCAGTGAAACCAGAAACTAATTGTTCTACAAGTGTGGAGATTGTGACTGTATCCTGTATTTTTAAAAAACAGAGTGTTAAAATGTCTAAACTATCAGCCAATTAATTTATGTGTGTGCCGAGAAATCCGCGATCGTATAGGTTTCAGGTAGACACGAAACATTGTTTTTCCAGTTACAGTAAACTACGGTTATAACGAACTCAAATGGACCACTAATTTTAGTTCGTTATAACCGTAGTTCTTTATAAGCATATATACAACATCTATACAGCAAATGTCAAGGACCAAAAATTAAGTTCGTAATATCCGTCAGTTCGTTATAAGCGTGTTCGTTATAAACGTATTCTACTGTAATTAGACTATTGACTTTTGACTATTATCATATACTTTGTCGATTTCAACCTAATTAGACCATGACAGTAATTACAAACACTGTTGATTTCTATTTAGAGAGCATCTATTTGATTCCTGTCCACAAGACAGAGCATGAATGTTAGAATACCATTGCCAGAACTGCTAAGAATCCCCAATCTGTAATAGTCACAAACGGTTTGGAATTATACAAAAACTACACTTAACTATTTACTGCTAACCAACGGGACATTGTTATTACTTTTTTTCTAAGCTGTCGATTGACTATGCTTCAGTGTGAAACATATTTGTTAACCAGTAAAACTATGCCTTAAATGATGCCTATACGTGATATCAGTATTAATACTATGTGTTGTAAAACAGCATGATGTGTAGTATGTGTTAGTATGCATGTATTTGTATCTATGTGTAAAATATATGTATTTGAATTAGTGTCTGTGTTTCACGTTTCCACTTTCCTTGTGTCTGTAATTAAGTTTAAGCGTTTAACGAAACTCGGTTTAAATGTGTTCTCTTAAATAAATAATAGGTTGTTGTGAAGTCTGTATGGTAAATCTCTTTGGCATTTCCTGAATAAGTCGAATTCCAAGCAAATAATTATCACATCATATAGCTTCTAAATCAATTATTAAAAGGTCCAGAGAAAATATGACCCCATTAACCAGCAAGTCTATAGCAAGACTGGTTAGCCCAGTCATCTAAAACGTTGGAATTCACTGTGCAGAGTAAAGTCCCTTGGGTCACAATCCTACGGTCGCAGGTTCGAATTCAAGATTCGCCTTATTAATGTTTCATGGTTTGTCAGCACCATACCGTTCTCGTAGGTTTCCCCAAAGTGGTAAACATCCAAGACCTGCATTACTTCAGGCTTTCCCCCCACGTTAAGCTGACACGTCCTGAAGTGGTGTCAATCCCCACGCACTCTATTAATTTATTTACGACCAATCTTTCACACGAAACATTTATTTCCCAAATATGTCAGAATATGTCATACCTAATCACAGCACCTTCATTCTACATGACTCATCTATCTCATCCCTCATCTGACAGAATAATCCCCCTGAATATGAGGAGTAGCGGTTAGAATACTAAGAAAAGGTATATTCTGAGAGTGTGAGGAAGGGGTGGGTTGAAAAACGAAAAAGATTTTTTTTTTTTTGTAGGCGTAGTGGGGGGGGGGGGGGGGGCAATAGAAAACCCCAGTATGTTTTTAACTCGTGATTGTAAGTAAACTTAATGGCTTTTAATGATCTGACAATCAATATCTTCTTTAGCTTTTAATTTATTATATGCATGTTTCCATACATCAAACAGGTTAGTAACTTCACCTGGCAATCCAGCACTAGCTGCGAACTGACATAAAATACCGGGTCTTTTTAAATAATATATATCTAACGCTATCATTTCCAAGACGCGAGGGCACTACTAACCAGGCGTCGTGGAAGTTATTGACTGGAGGATAGAAACGCTTCCTGTAATGTCGACTATGTGCCTGTCGTTTCATTAATTGATAATTACGGGTCTGATCAGTAATCTGTATTGTTTGCACTTGTGTATGCCAAATTGTGTTAGCAGCTTAAACGTTATGTCAACAAAAGGTATTGTATTATTTATTGATTTTGTGGAATCGACAATCCGAATGTCTTCTGACGACAAAGAACTTTAACAAAATATAAATGTTACCTGGTTGTTGTCTCCTAGCGGCAAGTTCATTCCAAGGGAGATAACGCCTTGGCCGTGTAAAGCGCGACGGTTGTTATAGTTATAATTTTAGTAATGGGTTGAGGCGGGGGTGTGGGGGATGGGTTTGAGGTAATTATAAACATGAATTGAAAATGTCTCCCTAATAACTATGCAATGACTATGTGGTGCGCTTGTTTAGAGGCACATCGATTTTCAAAAAACTTCCAATTGATTTATATGTTTTGCGAGTTTCGCACTCTGTAACTATGCAATGTTTAGTGATCAAGACGTTATTTTTGTATTTCCTGCAATGTGAATCAATTACATACTTAGAACACACTGTCAATGTGTGACTTACATGTGTATATTCAGCAGCGTGACCGGAACATTGTATTTATAATGTAAATAAGAAACCATGTACGTTTGTAACGTAAGCAGATTATACACTACTGAAAATTGCCAGTGTAGGTCACTTCCTTCTGCTTTTAATGTACCCTGGGATTTATCATCCTGCTGACTTATTATCAAAAATCATAGAGCTTATTCAGCTTATACTGGAAAAAACATGTACCGTATTTTCTCGAATATATGCCGGATATCGTTTAAACGCCGGGCCTCGATAAAACGCCGGGTACTTCTTATGCACTGAATTCTCCCCCATTATTGTCTTTGCGATTAAACGCCGGGGGTAAATCGTGTCAGAAAGAAATATACGCGGATGCGTTTAATCGAGGAAATACGGCATAGGTTTCACAGTTATTTAGAAGATGCGGATATTGGATTTTGAAAAGAAGGGTGGCGTGCACTCCATGACCGGGGCACAAAATACATGATTGGTTGATCCAAAGCCACCCCTTCATAATCCCATGTACACTTGAATACCATAGACAATGATTGTAAATAGAATATATTGTACCATACCCGAATACAAGACGTGTACAATAAACATAATACAGCCCTTCCAGCCGGAGAAGTGATTAATATATTGTAGCACTTGTATAGTATATTCCGAAGTTTAGTCAGAAATGGCGCGATCGTGCGTTGTGTTATATAAGTACCTTGTAATGTCTATATGTTTTTTTGTGATATATGACGTTTGTGAGTGAGAGACATTTCTGAAAATGCATACTGCATTTTGTTGTTGATGTTTATTGTGAAAATGTCATGTGTTGTTATTGTTATTCTTAAATAAACAATGTGAGTTGTAAAATGTGTGTTTGTTGTTTATCAAGAATATCCATGCATAGCTGCACCACTGGAAAAGTTACATACCGCATCTATGTTATATTATGAATTTGTGTAGAGAATATTTCAATTATATTCACGACAGATTATTTTATACACATTGTAACCATCCGGCCCACAGTTCGGTATAAGCTTTTATGACATGTATGTGTATGGGGGCAAGGACATTCAATAACCTTACAATTCGTAATATAATATTCCTATAATAATATTTCCTAATTTCATTACTGAATAGAGTTTATACAATAATAATTGCATAATTCTTTTCAGTAATGACATCAGGAAATTTTGAATAGAATTGCGCCATAACAACAAATAATTAAACATAGAGAGTACACCCAGTGATACGAAGCACCTAAGGACAGAATATATACATATATATAGGCGCCCCCTATTTACTCCTGTGGCCCAGGTCTAAGGGAGCTAACAACCGGTGCAATAACTAACTGGAACATATAGCAATCTATAAATGTATATCATCTTTAAGGTTCTGTGGAAGGAACTAAGTTTCCATATTTTTTGCTATTTGGGGGAATGGTATATAAGAAAGGTCTGATGAATAAGTATAACAAGTTATACAGTGTCAAACTTTTTGATAAATCTGACAACTCTTCTTTCATTTTGGTGGCCGCAAAGCATAACAACTCACTACATTCGTTTCAAATTGGAAGCCATTTACGTCAGAGTAGAATAAATATATAGCGATGGGATACTGTAACTCCTGTCTATTGTATTTTCAAAATTAAAACAGAACCTATTCCTTCTTTGCTATCATATTTTGCACGCTCCGTTGAACAGGGGGCGCGACAGGAGTCCAATTCTTGCACATGACCGGGAACCCCACCTCACTCACTCATTCAAATTCACACTCCGGCGCAGTGGTGACTCAGCATAACACTATGCTGGCTGGCTGCCGTCCGCATGGAACTCTGGGTAGGAGAGTGACTCAAATTCTGAATCCAAACTGGTTCTATACCCGTAGTACGCGTGCGCCTCCCCCGTATTACCGAAATGCTGTTTGTCGGCAGATACTTGATGTTCAGCCTGACAGCTTCCCTGTCGGTACAATCTTCCACCAAAACGTACACCCAAGTCAGTGTTTAGGGAATCCCCGGTAAGAATGTAAGTTCCAAGCAGTCTATGCTTGGAAGAGGCGACTAACGGGATAGGGCTTTCCTCTCAATCCTCAGATCAGTCTGAACCGTTGATCCGGGGTAGATCCAGGGTAGATCAGTAGATCCGGGGTAGACTAGGTCTTCAGCAACCCATGCTTGCCATAAAAGGTGACTGTGCTTGTCGTAAGAGGCGACTAACGGGATCGGGTGGTCAAGCTCTCTGGCTTGATTGATACATGTCATCGTATCCCAATTGCGTGGATCGATGCTCATGATTAAAATCACTGACAGTGTCTGGTCAAGATTCCATTATTTACCGACGGCTGTCATATAGCTGGAATATTGCTTATTACAGCGTTAAACAATGAAAAAGAAAACAGATACGCCGTGATATAAATGACAATGTATCTCAAATTGGAATGTGAAGTGTGGGGAGCAATCTATCAACAAACTAGTGCATTGCGCTAAAGGCTAAGCGTATTAGGGAACTAGAGTTCAGAGCTGGCAGTAACATTGCTTGACACATATTCTCTGTTCTGTAATCAAGCTCATAGTAGCTGTACACACATCAAGCTATCACAAGATATTATAGGGCGCTTCGATATATGTCTTCAAATCATGTTAATTCAATGTATAAAGCGAAGGTCAACAAGGATAGATATTGCCACTAGTCCGTTAGTCCGAGACGAGTGAAAACCCAGAGAGACTAGTTGTTTTCACTCAAAAGTTAGTTATTCTATATAATCCCCTCGTCAAGAATGAGCTGCGGATACGTTGGGTTTGAAAATTGATGTCTACCCCCGCTAAAGCCTCTTGTCCAGTCAGAGATCGTCATTTCATCACGGAATGTACGTTTGGTATGAATGTGACATGCACGTGCATTATGTTAATGTGATATTAACCATGATGTAAGTGAATGTGTCTCTGAGCAGTATTTTCTGTTACATCACGGTGTGTCAGCTATTGGAAGAAGGTGATGCAGGCCATTAACGTTTACCACTTTGGCGACACCCATGAACACGGGTATAGTGCTGACAAGCCAACAGAAACATCATAACGGTGAATCCGAGTTCGAACTATCATCGGTTTCTGGCACGCCTAAGGGGAGTAATTCTGCACAGCAACTCGCGGTCCTGTAGACGACTTGCAATTGACTACTTGTGCCCCACAAATGCGTGGAGCCTTCAGTGTGTAGTATGTCGGTTTTGATCCAGGGTACCCGGTGGTCAACAATATTGTAATATTGTCTGTCACGTGAGTCACACATTTAATTTTATCAATATATTACTCAGCATGTGAATTATGTATAATAATTACGTTTCAAGACAGTTTGCCCTTTAATAAGCTAAGCATGAATTAATTACCCTAAATTCGACTTATTGATATATATTATTTCAAGACATCACAAACTGAATAATTGACATCACAAGTTGGGTTATAAGATATCATAATATGAATTATTGATATAACTAAATTTAAATTTATTATAAATCAATAAAGTAATTATTTTATATGATAAAACTGGGAGCAAATAGTAAAACGGCGCCAAATAGCTGGGCTGTTGGGCCCGTCAGCTCATAAAAGTACCTCAGGTAAAGATTCTCTATACATTCGTCATCACTCGCCCCTTTCCGTAACCTGCAAGAAGACGTCCACCTACATTCGTGACCAACTCGTGTTATTCCGGGACAAGCAGGTTACGCAAAGAGGCGAGTGGTGACGAATGGTCCACCTATCGATGCAAGTTATATGCGAAAATACGACAAACCAATCAGAATGAGCGTATGACTTCAAGCACTTCGGTCGAAGAATCCCTCAGGAATATTTTTTTTATTTTACATTTGTCTTGCATTTAATAACATACCCAAGATACAGTTAAATGTGTATAATCATACTGTATAATACTGTAAGTCCCGATGTGTTCAATAGCATCTGGAATATCTATGATATATTGGGGTAATACGTGTGAACCATCAGCGCTCATTACTGTAAAGTGTTGGCTTCTATTGTCTTTTACTAATCACCCATCAGCGCCAGTCATCTGTTGGCCTCCCTTGTTAGTTTCCACCTTTTGTTGTCTTATTACTCCTGTTGTCCTTACATGTACATATAAATGCTCTCTG